ACAAGGAGTAATGGTCTCAAGTTGCAGTGTGGCAGATTTAGGTTGGATATTAGGAAAAACTTTTTCACTAGGAGGGTGGTGAAGCACTGGACTGGGTTACCTAGGGAGGTGATGGAATCTCCTTCCTTAGAGGTTTTTAAGATCAGGCTTGACAAAGCCCATGCTGGGATGATTTAGTTGGCCATTTGGTCCTGCTTTGAGCAGGGAGGGGTGGGAGGGGGTTGGACTAGATGACCTCCTGAGGTCCCTTCCAACCCTGATATTCTATGATGATCCCAATGGGCCTTTCTGGCCTTGGAATCTAGGATTCTTTCACTATGAAAAGGATGGGAGAGAAGAGGCTGCTCTGGTGACAGGTGCTTAGTTTATTGTGTCTCTATTGTGTGCCTGTCCCTCTGTGACCCGTGAGAAGAGATCCTATTCCTGGCTAACCAACCAGCAGAGCTCAGAGCCAACTGCAGTGCTCCATGCAGAGGGGTATGACATCCTCTGTGCCCTCTCCCATGGAAACAGGGCTGCCCAGAGGATTCAGGGGGCTTGGGGCAAAGCAATTTTGGGGGCCCATTCCATTAAAAAAAAGTTGCAATACCATAGAATACTATATTCTCGTGGGCGCCCATGTGGGGCCCAGCCCCCGGGGCCCTGCATGGAGAGGGGACCTCTCTGCCCCAGCTGAGAGCAGCTGAAATGCAGCCACCTCCGTAATTTCCACGGCAATTGCGACCCACTAACTACCCCAGCAGGAAGGGCCCGGGGGAGGTTCCTGCTCCCCTGCCCAGGCTGGGCTCGGGGTTAAGATGGGAAGGGCCACCGGCTGCCCCCGCGTCACACCAAGGGATGAGCTCGGGAAAGCTGCAGCCAGGGGCTGCCTGGGTCTGGGTGGCGGATGTAACTCGCGGTGCCCACTGCGGGCCACACGCCCCCCCGCTCCCCCTCCCAGGCGGAAGCCGCCCCCAAGGGCAGCCTGGGCTGGAGGCGCCTCCAGGCTCCGGGCGCACCGCGGCAGCCCCGCAGCTCAGCGCCAGGGGGCGCCACCGCCGGCTGCGCTGGGGTGACCCCGCCGGGGCGGTGCTGCCCCCCAGCGGGACTCTGCCCTATTGCTGAGGGGCCGGTCCCTGCCTGGCTTCCCCGGCGCCCGGTTCGAGCGTGTCTCCTGCGGGACCGGAGCCGCCCGCGCTGCCCGTTCCTTACCCAGCGTGAGGAGCAGCAGCGCCGTGCCCAGCAACTGGCCCATCGCCTTCTCCGGCGGCTCCGCTCCTCAGGGGCTCCGGCGCGGCTCCGTGCCCGGGATCAGCAGCAGCCCCCCGCTGCAAGGGGAGTTCATGGTCCTGGAAACTCCGCGATCGCTCTTCCTGCTTTCCCGAGCCCCGCGCAGCGCCCGGCTCCAGCTGCCTCTCAAGCCCTTTGCATTTCCCGGGGGTTCTCCCCCTGGCCGCTCGGTCCCTGCTGTGTGATGCCACCGCCCCCCAGTGCAGCTTCCAGGGGGTTGGGGCACCCCGCGGGGAGTCGCCTTAATACCTAACCATGGGAAGCCCCCTTCCCTGGTCCTGCAGAGCTGGGCGGCTCAGGCATCTGGAGAGTTCAGCTCCTTCCCCATCCCCTTCTCCTCCCCCACCTCCCTGCCCCTCCCACAGCCCCGCCATCCCCACACCTGTCTCCGGATGGAGAGAAATAGCCAGAGCCCGTGTGAGCGCTGAGCTCAAGGGATGGGGGCGGGGGTAGGAAATACTGGGGGGTATTAATAGTCTCACGCACATACACCCCCCCAGAATCTAACCCTGGTGAAGCGCAGGTGGAACTGGCTCGTTGCAGGTTCTGTAAGAGAGGGACTTCGCATCAGAAGACCCTGGAAAGTGTATTAGCAGGCAGGTGGATTAGTTCCCAGCCTTGGGCGTTCTTAACAATCCTCCCCAGAGTGATGTGGCCCCTCCTGGCGTCTCCAGCGGGTGGCATGTTGGGCTCTGGCTTCCAGAGGAAGGGCAGCAGGAAATTTCTCTAAAGAGCAGCACTGGGAGCCAGCTAAGAATGGTCCAGAGGAGAGACTCAGGAGAAAGGTATTGAATATAGGGGTCTTCTGTGGTCATGCTGCCTGGCACTCAGGTACACACCCTTACAAACCTAGTGTAAGGTGTAACCTGGTGTACAAACGCCTGGTGGCACACAGAAACACCCCCCATGTACACACACGCTCACACTCCCTTACAATCATACAGATCCCATCTCACGTACACACATACATCCCATGTACACACACGCTTACACTCCCTTACAAACATACAGATCCCATCTCACGTACACACACACATCCCATGTACACACACGCTTACACTCCCTTACAAACATACAGATCCCATCTCACGTACACACACACATCCCATGTACACACACGCTTACACTCCCTTACAAACATACAGATCCCATCACAAACACCCCCTCCCAAACACACACACGCCCGCGCACACAAACACCTGTCACCCACCCCCACCCTGCTTCTCCCTCTCATGCACCCTCCCCTTCGTGTTCACAGGTGGGCACATGGGGCTTCATGCAGACTGTGGAAGGAATTTTTCTAGCCACCAACTGCTCTATGAAAGGAGAAGAGGGGCTCCCTGTAAATGTGCAAAACCACTTCTGTCCTCCTTCAAATCTTTCCTTAAAACTCTCATTTGCCCTGATGCCTACAACATATTTGGCAACAGTTAGGCTGCTGGTGTGCTGAGACCACTGCCTGCCATGCTGACCAATATTGTAGGTCTCATTGTTTGTACTGCCTTGTCTGTCTGCTGTATCCATCTGATGGCTCTCATTTTAGTCTTGTATTGTAAGCTCTTTGGGGCAGGGACTTTTTGTATTGTGCTTGTACAGCATCAAGCACAATGGGATTCTGGCCCATGGTTGCGGCTCCTAGGTTGTACTGCAATACAAATAAATAGTAACAGTAATGATGATGAACTGAAGAAATCAGAACACTCAGCAGCAGCAGGGAATTGCCATGTGACATTCTCAGTTAAGTATACAAGGCAGCAAAGCCAGAAGTAGGAAAGGGAGCTAAAGGGAGCAGCAGCGATTGAAGCATGGAGATGGCAAGGGGTATAGGAGACTAAGGACATGATCCAAAGGGAGCCTACTGTACTTGGTCCTGCTAGTGAAGGCAGGGGCTGGACTCGATGACCTTTCAAGGTCCCTTCCAGTTCTAGGAGATGGGATATCTCCATTAATTTTTTTTCAACACACTTCAGATCAGGCCCTAATAGAAAAACCATCCTGGCTGATAACCTGATCTGGAATGACAAATGGACACAAGGGATCAAACTCCAAACACACTGTGTGACCCAGCCTGCGCAGGTGGTGCCCACTCCAACCTCACACACCTGAGATGTCTTGTCTTTTTCCTTAGGCTTGGCCACTCTTGGGTAACTTACCACACCAATTGAATTGAATTGCAATGTAAAATCCTAGTGCCACCTGCTGGCCGCTTCTCATATGTTTAATGGGGAAAGGGATTAGAAAATTGAGGAAATTCAAGTGCCCCTTTTCTATGGAGGTTGTCGCTGTGTTAAAAGCTTCTGCAAATGTTTATGTAAAACAAAACCAATGGCAGTGGGTCTGCACTCATAAGCAACCTGCAGTAACAAACCTTTGCCTTGATGCCAATAGCATGGGCTAAGCAGCTGTGACCACCATTTATCATGCTGATTAGTATCATTGCATTGTTTCCTTGGGCTCACTCTGTTTATCACATCCACCTGTTGTCTCTTGTTTTAAACTTAGATTCTAAACTCTTTGGGCAGGGCCCACCTCTTTGTTCTTTGTTTGTACAGTGCCTAGCACAGTGAGGCCCTGATCTATGGCTGGGGGCCCTGGGAGTTACCTCAATATGAACAAATACATAAATAACAATTCATAATAAACCAGCGTGTGCAGGTCAGCCCTTTTAAGCAACCCTACAATAACAAAGTGTTTATGTATTTATTTGTTAAAAATGATTCTTTAGCACCACACGTTTTATACACAGATAATCATTCATAATGAATTCATAATTCTCAATGATCTTTCAGGTTCTAGGTGATTTTTTTCCTGGAGGTCCCAATCCTGCAAACACTTATGCACATGCTTAACTTTATGCACTGTAAGTAGTTCCATTAACTTAACTGAAGTAAATAAAGTTAAGCACATGTGTAAGTCTTTGCAAGATCAAGGTCTTAGTAGATGTTATCACAGAAATAAACCTGCCCATAGTTGTTTCCATCACTCTAACCTGTGTGTGTTGGGGGATTATACACCATTTTGCATAGCTAGGGCCTGATTCTGCATCTGCTCTTGTTTATATTAGGCTCCATTGATGTGAGTGAGGGTCACTTTTCATTTACACTGGCGGAAATGAGGGCAGAATCTAACCTTTGCCCAGACAAGCTCTTTTCTGCCCACTTTGATGACATCACTTCATGGTCTGGGAGTGTCACAGTTCAGCCTGTGTGACGTCACATTGCTGCATGTTTCACTTGTTACTATAAACACATTAACCCTATCTGTGACCACTGTCAAGGCCTTCTGGAAGTGGGAGATGGGCACAGGATTGTGTTGTTTTCTATTCCCTGCTGGATCTGTGGATTAGGGGAAATGAAAGCTCTTTGGGCCAAGGAGGTCCCAGGAAATGCTCTTCCTCCTGACCCAGAGAGTAGAACCCTCCATGGAAGGAGATCATAAAAATGACCACCTGCTAGTACTGTTGGTTTAGGAGAAGGAACTCATTTGCTGGTAAACTATTGAGCTCCTCTTTGGGTTTCATTTAAAGATAGCATACTGACCTAAATCCATCCCTGAAATAATGCCATTGACTTTAGTGGAGTTACAAAGTTACAACGGGGATTAAAGTTACCTATTCTAGCGAGAAGTTCAAGTGACTGCTTTGATCCCCCACTTGGTAAGGCAACTCCCATCTTTTCATATGCTGTGTATTTATACCTCCCTACTGTATTTTCCACTCCATGCATCTGATGAAGTGGGTTTTAGCCCACGAAAGCTTATGCCCAAATAAATTTGTTAGTCTCTAAGGTGCCACAAGGACTCCTCGTTGTTTTTGCTGATACAGACTAACACGGCTACCGCTCTGAAACCTGTCAACAACCAGAGTGTTCATTCCAGCCCACTCTTCAGAGATCTGCATTGCTGTGAATGCAAGGGAGGTGGAAACTACACCTTTGGCCACCTTTGCCAAACTCAATCCAATCAGCTCCCACTTTGACAAATGCTAGAGACACATTTTGTGTCTGAAGGATGCAGATTATTCCCTTTATTTGTAGAATTATGGATCAGTGCATCACTCAGCTGATCTTTCTCTCGAAACCTCATCTCAGTGTCTGCCCAGCTCAGAACATCTGCAAGCCCTGAAAGGAAAACAAACATCGGTGCTGTTTCTCTAGAGAGAAGTATCATCGAGTGCAGTGATTGGGGCTTCTCTAGGCCTAAACACCAACCCAGAGCGAGAGGGTAGCTTAGCAGCTTATCCGCCGTGGAATCTGCATGCTTCATGCTGGGACAGAGCTAATGTGGATGATAATTATATCCGTCATAATCCTATTAGTGTTGATGGGAATGATGGGACTTCATCAAAGGGGGGAAGGTCCTGTTACTGTGGGGTGACCTCCTACCTGGGGAGGGAATGTATTCTGTTAGGGGCGATGTGTTACTCACAATCAAGAAGAGCAGACTTCAAATGTGAGCCCTACATGGCAGAGATTGTCTTTACTAGACTGGCAAAGTGCCCTGCATATGTATGGTTCTATATAATGAGTACTGAGATAAGAATAGGCCCAACTGATGACATGGGTCAGGCACTGCTGTTATTGGGAATAACCTCAGCAAAGAATTCAAGGAGACACCTACAAGCTCTGCACTGGATTGACCCAATTTGCCCTGCCCCGTCTGTGCTGAGTGGCTGAGACAAGAGTGTCTAGCTATGGAAGGAAAACAGAAAAGTATTAAAAGTGGCCTCAGGGCACAGCTCTTGCTTGTATTGCTAGCGTGGCTGGGTCCAAATTCCCCTGACACCATGGCTGGGGGGGGGGATGAAAATTCTAGGTGCTTCGATACTGTGGTGAGGAGTGGGGTATAAGAATCTATAGAAGAGGGGACCCCCATGCTAGTCCAGCTGCCGCTTGTCGTGCTGCTGCATAGACTATTCCAGGTTAGGTCCCTCATTCAATCTCCAGCTTCCCAGGGCCAGCAAGGGCTAGGAATCATGGCAGTGCATAGGCAGCAAGATGCGGGGGAAGCACCTCAGCTGTCTCTGCAGTGACTCCCTCTGGCCATTGACGGGATTAAGAAGGATCCAGCCTGGCTAGGGGAGAGAAAGTCGCAGTGACTCAATGCCTAGGAGAGAAAGTTACAAGGGGATGCCAGAGATTTTCTCTTCAGTCGAAAGCCAGCGTCCGGAAGCTTACAAGGAACAGACACTGTCACTGCTGGTACTGGATGGTGAGAGTGTGCTCCAGAGTCTCGCCACATGACCGAGTGCAGCAGGGTTTAATCCATCGCTGGGTCGCTGGTCTACAGAGCACTTTGGGAGCTGGTACGTGGAGCCGCTTGGGCAGGCCTTCGAACCAGCACTTCTGATGCAGATCAGGAGGCTGGGTTTCTAAGGGCAGCTCAAGGTTACTCTGCACAGCTGCAGCATCTGTATCCATGTCCTCAGCATCGGTGACAGTACTACCACCAGAATCTTCTTGAGGCTTGTCTGGGTCCTTGGAGGAGACACTTGTCCTAAAACAAAATCCAAAATGAAACATGATTGTTTTCCATTCCAGCCACCTGCAGATTCCAAAACAGCTTGTAAAACAGTCCTCTTAACCCAGCTCTCCTGGAACTGGCCACAGAGACAATCCTTTTGACTGAGCGTGCAGCCCACAGGGAATGGTAAGGATCATTCTGGCAATTAGGCACAGGAGTGAGAGAAGCCAAAAGGAAACATGCAGGGGCCATTCACACAAGAGACACTCCCTTCCCCAATACAAAAAGGAAGAGGTGGAACCGTCTGAGTGGCTCAGAGACTGAGGGCAGGATGCAAGCATTGAAAAGGAGCTACTGCAAAGAAAGAAGGATGTGGTCCTGCTAGGTGACTGTAGTGAGGGACCTGGCTACTTTGGTATGTTGCCTCTCAAGTGCCTGGACAAAGGGTTGAGGTGGGAACAATGACATGAGTGAAAGGAAAATGTTTTAGAGATGATCACAGTGATCCGGGCTGTGACTGCCCTCACGTACCTCCATTATTTCAAATACGTGGTATTTTCATCATGCTTTCTGTGTTCAGAGCACTGGACAGAAATTAACTAATTAATCTGGCTCACCGCACCCCATGAGGCCGGGAGGGAACTCATATTATCCTCCTTTCTCAGACAGAGATACTGAGACAGAGAGGTGAAATGACTAGAAAATTGAATGGCAGGACTGGAAGGGACCTCGAGAGATCATCTAGTCCAGTTCCCTGCACTCATGGACTAAGTATTATCTAGACCAGGGATTCTCAACCTTTTTCTTTCTGAGGCCCACCCAGCATGCTATAAAACCTCCATGGCCCACCTGTTGCACAACTACTGATTTTCTGCATATAAAAGCCAGAGCCAGCGTTAGGCAGCAGCAAACAGAAATTGCTTGGGGCTCCATACCACAGAAAGCCCCATGAAGCTAAGATGCTCAGGCTTCGGCTTCAGCCCCAGTTGGTGGGGCTCAGGGCCTCGGGCTTTAGCCCCATGCAATGGGACTTCTGCTTTCTGCCCTGGGCCCCAGGGAGTCTGATGCTGGCCCTGCTTGATAGACCCCCTGAAACCTGCTCGCAGCCCCCCGGGGACCCTGGATACCTGGTTGAGAACCACTGATTTAGACCTGAAAGGTGTTTGTCTAACCTGCTCTTATAAATCTCCAATGCTGGAGATTCCACAGCCTCCCTTGGCAAATTATTCCAGTGTTTAACTACCCTGACAGGAAGTTTTTCCTAATGTCCAACCTAAACCTCCCTTGCTGCAATTTAAGCCCGTTGCTTCTTGTCCTATCCTCAGAGGTTAAGGAGAACAATTTTTCTCCCTCCTCCTTGTAACAACCTTTTGTGTACTTGAAAACTGTTATCATGTCCCCTCTCAGTCTTCTCTTCTCTAGACTAAACAGACCCAATTTTTGCAATCTTCCCTCATAGGTCATGTTTTCTAGACCTTTAATCATTTTTGTTGCTCTTCTCTGGACTTTCTCCAATTTTTCCACATCTTTCCTGACATGTGGCGCCCAGAACTGGACACAATACTCCAGTTGAGGCCTAATCAGCGTGAAGTAGAGCAGAAGAATTACTTTTGGGGTCTTGCTTACAACACTGCTGCTAATACATTCCAGAATGAAATTTGCTTTTTTTGAAACACTGTTACACTGTTGACTCATATTTAGCTTGTGATCCACTATCCCCAGATCCCTTTCCACAGTACTCCTTCCTAGGCAGTCACTTCCCATTTTGTATACTGATTGTTTCTTCCTACGTGGAGTACTTTGCATTTGTCCCTATTGAATTTCATCCGATTTACTTCAGACCATTTCTCCAGTTTGTCCAGCTCATTCTGTTTCTGAATGCCTGATTTAGAAGGGGAAATAGCCCAAGGCCACCCCCTGAGTAAGTGACAGAGCCAGGATTAGAACTCGGGACAGTCTGATTCCCAGCCTCTTCCCGACTGTCATTTCATTCTGCTTCAACAATTGTACCTCCCTTCTCCACCGCCCAGCTCTCCAGACTCCAACCAGCCTATGCAGAGTGGGCTGCTGCTGCTGTCCTTGCCAAGCATACAAAGTACAAGCGCATCTCTCCCATCCCCAGACAGCTCTCTTGCCCTGGGGTCATTACAGGATACAGCTCAAAACTGCCTTCTTTGATTTGAAATCCCTCTATTCCACTTACTGTAGGTCATGTCTCCTCTAGTACTTTCCCTGATCGCTCCAGCCCTCCGGCACTAGCTTCTTGGAGAAATCTGGGCATGACACCATTTCCCCCTTTTTAAATCAGGCATTCAGAAGCAGAAATCAGACTGTCTGCGGCCCCATGGAATCATGGCTGAGAGGTGGCCTAAAATATTCCGAATGAGCTAATTTCCCCATCTGCCACCTTTCACTTCCCCTTCTTTCCCCCGTTCCCCCAGTCACACTTCCTGACACAGCCTGAAAAAACTCCCCATCCCACAATGTACTCACACAAAGCTCACCATCACGTAACCATCCTCAGGTTCATGCATTGTGCCCATTAGACAGTCACAGGGAAGCAAAAAGCCAGGGATTCCGTTATACAGGGACTCACCCAGAGGGGACAGCAGCGAGGTTGGGAGGCTTCTGGAATGCCAGTGACTTCCAGTAGCTGATAGCTAATGCACGTAGCCGGAGGATCCTGTGATCAGCGTTCTTCAGCAGCTTCAGCAGTGACAGTTTCTTGAGTATCTGCCAGATTGGGTGCAATGGGAATGAAAGGCTGAAATACTTTATTGCCTGCTCTGATCTCATGAGGTTGTCACAGCCAGAGAAGGAAGCAGAAGCTACAGGCCAGTCACATCCTTTCCAGCCCCTTGGGCCAGCGTGTCAGACAGATCCCCAGTTGTGCATCCCTTCTGGGCCCTTGGCCCATAGAAGAAAGAGACACTGAATGTTGACATGCACACTCTTGCCCTCCCTTTAAATTCCAGCCAAGAACCAGGGAGCGTTCGAGACGAACAGATACACAACTATGGGAAGAGTCCATGCGCTGCAGCTCAGCTTGCAGAGGGGTAGGGAACAAGGCTCCTGATATGCACAGACCCCACACCACCATCCAGTTTTACAGTGCCTATTGCCTCGTAATGAGGGTGACACCTATCTACCAGGGGCTGGTACATGTAAAAAACCAGGGTGGCTTCTTACTGTCTTTAGATGGTTCTTCTCTTGTTCCATGTCGCTCAGCTGACATGCTCCAATCTTCACATCTTCAGTCTGTGAAAGGAAAAGACCAGGCACACTTGAGGCAATAGATTTAATACTAGAGTGGACAAAGCACTAGCAAATGCATTGTAGGGGACAATCCTGCCCTGTCCTCTGGGGAACCAGTGTCTAGATGGGACCTGATCAGTCTTTTTCTTATCTCTAATGTCTCTGAGCCTATGAGTCAGTGCAACATGTAAAAGGCCACTGCTGGATAACCCTAGTATGTGTGCAGCATCACGTTAGACTTCTTTAAATTCATGGCCGTGCTGGGACTTTCCCTACTGCATGTGTTTGTTATTGCTTTAGTGGTTGAGCCCCACCAAGGTGCTCAGCATTATACAGAACACGTAGGAAAACCGGGTCCCAGCCCCAAAGGCCTTACAGTCTACATCCTTCCAGTCTAAGGGCAAATTCTCTCTTCCCCCACCCCACCTATTCATTCCCTTTGCCAGTTTCAAAGAGGTTCAGGGAGGAGGATCACTACAACTCATCACAGGGTCTGAAGAAGGACTGACTGTACCTGGTGAACGAGGGCTTTCTTCTTCCCTGGGGCCTTCATTGTCATTCAGGAATAGTTCTGTAAGGGCTTTGATGGGAGGTTCTGTGGCAGACAGGCAAGATATCTGAGAGGTACCTGGGAGCTCCCTCTCTCTGAAATGCCTCTGGTCCTCCCTAGGGTCTGAGGTCTTGGGTTGATGTCAATTCAGACAGAGGCTGTGACCTCATTTATCTGTGACACCAGAAACCACATGTCAATATTGAGGGTGACAGGGTGTGCTGGGGAGTTGCAGATGGGGTGGGGGGTAATGCACACCGGAGGAGGAATAAAGAGAAGGGTGTAACATCAATAGTGAGGGGTTCTAGCTCCCCCCAGATAGGACAGTTTCCAATTTAACATAGGAAACCAAAAAGTGGAGCAGCACGGCAAACGTTCAGGGCAGGGGACTGGCACTCCCAATCTGCCATCAGCTCACTGGGTGACCTTGAGAAAGTCAGTCTGTGCCTTAGTTTCCTCATCCATAAAATGAGAATAGTCCTGAGGCTGTGGGGCTTTGTTAATTAATGTTTATAAAGGGACTGTAGCCGTGCAAATTTAATTATTATTAAGAATAAATAAATAACTACCAGGAGCTCTCATGATTCCTGGCACAATACCTGGGGCTCTGGGTATTGCTGTAGGGGTGGAGAGCTGTCTTCATGGTGAGAAAAGGTGGGGAAACGTGAAAGGAACTGGCTTTGGATTTATTACATACAGAATGTTTCTGGTGACCTCTCTCCTGAGCCGGCATTTCTGATACTAATAATTCATAATAAAAATGAATAGGTTTGAGGGAAGGGAAGTAAAAGTGGGTATAACAGGGCAATCTGCCCCTTTAATAGTCCAGGGGGAAGGGGGACAAGTACCAACCCTGTTCCAGAGAGAAGCCCAGCAGGCAGGTGCTGGGACTCAGTTGACACAGCTGATCAGCATTTCATGATTGCCCCACACTCTCAGCCAGACAATATAAAGGAGAACTCAACGCATAAAGAAGGGGGTAGCCAGGATTGAGATGTTTTCTTTAGTAACCAGAGCTGGCTGGCCCCAAGGAGCCCCCAGGGGTTGGAAAGGATCATTCCTGGTAGCTACTGAAACTCAGAGGACCCCAGTCTGAATGCTGACCAGGGTGATGTTTGTGTTGTTGTTTTTTTTTTGCACACCTTCTCTCTCTCCCCCCCCCCCTTCTTTCTTTCTGAAGGTGATATAAACAGGGCTCTGAAGAAAGGAGCAGAAACTAACCTGGGTGTGTCTGATTGTCTCTCCTCAGCTGGTGACTAGGGCCACCAGCGTAGAGTGGGTCTAAAGTGAGAGGCAAGTTCACAGACCTGAGTATTGTGACTTATAGGCCTACTTCCACCAGACTGGGGCATTCTGAGCTTACAGAGCTCCTGGCCTGATTTCTTTGTGTTTACAGAGCAGTGATACTCAGACCTTAGTTGTTCAGGAGCTAAATTACCCAGAAGAGCCACAATCGTGTGAATTCATTGCTTCATTTACTATAGTACTATTCATATTTAAATAGTATGATGGGAAATAGTGTGTGTATATATGTGTGTACACACACACACACAAATAAGTTAATAACTTAGTGCAAGTTGATTGCTTCTACTATGTTATTAACCAATGAAGTTTTCTGACTGGTTAATAACAGAGTGTTTTAATATCATGTGCTGCAAAGAGCCTCAGGAGACTCATTAAAGAGCCACTTGCTCTCGTGAGCTGCAGTCTGAGTATTACTGATATAGAGTGTAGATGACTCTAGCTGTGATGTTGTGGCTGGCTGACCTTAACCAGCACCAGCTACCTGGAGTGAGTATGTATCTGACACAGGGAGCTCCAAATCCAGTAGAGACTGGTGAGGAACTGTCCTACAGACCTCTATCCACAGCTCTGGTGTGAGCACACGTGGAATATCATGTCCAGTTCTGGGCAGCTCAATACTTGATAGAAGGGCATTCAGGGACTGGAGGGGCTGATTTCTGGGAGGTAAGAAGAACTAAACAAACAGCAAGAGTGGGATGATTCGGTGTCATACACAGGGCGTGCACCTGAGATGAGTGGGATGAAATTCAGAAAAGGAGAGTGTAGTCTGAATATAAGAGGCAAACTTCCTGACAAGGGGAATGATTAGAGCAGCGGTTCTCAGCCCCTGTGAATTTACATTCATAGAATATCAGGGTTGGAAGGGACCTCAGGAGGTCATCTAGTTCACCCCCTGCTCAAAGCAGGACCAATCCCCAACTAAATCATCCCAGCCAGGGCTTTGTCAAGCCTGACCTTAAAAACCTCTAAGGAAGGAGATTCCACCACCTCCATAGGTAACCCATTCCAGTGCTTCACCACCCTCCTAGGGAAAAAGTTTTTCCTAATATCCAACCTAAACCTCCTCCACTGCAACTTGAGACCATTACTCCTTGTTCTGTCATCTGGTACCACTGAGAACAGTCTATATCCAGCCTCTTTAGAACCCCCTTTCAGGTAGTTCAAAGCAGCTATCAAATCCCCCCTCATTCTTCTCTTCTGCAGACTAAACAATCCCAGTTCCCTCAGCCTCTCCTCATAAGTCATGTGCTCCAGCCCCCTAATCATTTTTGTTGCCCTCCGCTGGACTCTTTCCAATTTTTCCACATCCTTCTTGTAGTGTGGGGCCCAAAACTGGACACAGTACTCCAAATGAGGCCTCACCAATGTCGAATAGAGGGGAATGATCACATCCCTCGATCTGCTGGCAATGACCTTACCTATACAGCCAAAATGCTGTTAGCCTTCTTGGCAACAAGGGCACACTGTTGACTCATATCCAGCTTCTCGTCCACTGTAACCCCTAGGTCCTTTTCTGCAGAACTGCTGCCTAGCCACTCGGTCCCTAGTCTGTACGTTGCTCAGGCTTTGGCTGCAGCCCCAGGTGGCGGGGCTCAGGGCCCTGGCCTTCAGCCCCAAGCGGTGGGGCTTCACCTTTCTGCCATGTGCCACAGTGAGTCTAATGCTGGCCCTGCTTGGTGACCCCCCTGAAGCCTGCTCGTGATCCCCCAAGGGACCCCGGGCCCCTGGTTGAGAACCACTGCATTAGAGCAGCTACCAGAGCAAAGTCTGTGAGTCTCATCATTTGGGACATTTAACAATGGACTATCAAATCTACTGGCAGAG